CTCTTTTGTGCCCATGTAGTTACTAGTTATGCATTGCATCTTTTCAAAATAAAAGCAACATATGCAATCTCTTTCCAATACTATCAAAATGGTTCTTTTTTAGTCAGAACCAGGCCAGCCTACTTCATCGTCACTATTCTGTAAATGATCAAACTCTTCTTGAACCGTGGCCAGGTCTAATAGTGAATTTATTTTGGATGCTCCTTCATCGTCAAATTCCTGTTGTGCATGATTTTGTGGCACACCATATTGCAACCTGTTATTTTTATTCTCTCTTGCACATACAAACAGGCATCGAGTCTCCTTTCAATATACCATTACTTTATACAATCTTATTTCTTTCTCCCAGCAGTACCCAATATTGACTTTTGTTCAAATATTGACTTCAATCCCAGATTAATGTGCCTTCTTTTCAGGAGTTGGTCAAATAATGTTAGGTCATACATGCTATTAAAATCTATTGGATACCATAATTTGGTTGCATGATAAGCACATATTTTAAATTCTTTAGAACTGTATTTGTTCTAAGCAGAGGTTACCACAGATTGCATGCTTCATTAAGTGTGCATGTATCATGTGAATATATAACATGCTCCTGTTTAGTTTTCCCCATTTGAAGCTTTCACTCAATTTTGGGCATTCAAACAGATTGTTGCTGCCGGGCCTTTTACGACAACTGATAACCTATTCTTTGAGCCTCTTACTGAGCTACTAGGATATGCACGTCGCAAACAGCCTCAGTTGCTTGTGTTGGTAATATGCCTAAATGTACTTTTAAACATGCATGGATTAAATGAGCCTGTTATAACAAGTCAGACACGTCAGTTTAATATCCAAAAGTGTTTTCCAGTTAGGACCCTTCATTGATTCTGATCATCCAGAGATCATGAAAGGAACCACACACAAGACATTTGATGAAATCTATCAAGATGAAATTGTCGGAAGGGTAATTAAATTCACTCACTAGAACTGATTGCCATTTTCGGAAGAGTATCTAGGTGTTTGTTGTTTATTTGTTTTTAACTTTTTATTGTGTTGAACTGTTTCAGTTAAAAGATTACGTGGAATATATGGGTTCTTCTGCCCAAGTGATTCTCGTTCCATCTATTCGGGATGCACACCATGACTTTGTTTTTCCACAGGTAAATAATATGTCGTATTACTCATGAATGTTCATGGCTTTGATAAAGTTTAAATATCTAATCAATACCTTATGTGCTTCGTGTTGCAGCCAGCTTTTGACATTAATATTGCTGATAGTATGCATCAGGTATACAGCATGGTCTACTCTTTGAGGTTTTATTTCAGTAGGAAAAGAGTATGGTTATGCACCAGGTATGCACAAGCATTAGTGCATCATAGACTAATTCTTCTTCTTCGTTGCTCCCCTCTTTTTGATCATTGCAGATACATAGCATCTCAAACCCAGGAACATTTTGTGCAAATGAGGTACATGTTGTGGCTACAATGATTTTTAGCTTGAATCATTCGACATGGTTCATGCATCGGCAGTTCTTATAATACAGGTTAAAGTTGGTTGCTGCACAGTTGATATCTTAAAACAACTTAGTGCAGAGGAGATTTCACGAAATCCCCAAGGGGGGTCCAAGCAACGCATGTCTACCCTTGCAAGTCACCTCTTGAACCAGCGCAGGTATGTTAAGAAACAAATTGTAATGTTATTGGAATTATATTACATTGAAAAGTAAAATAGGAATTTCTTGTTTTTTGCTTCATAAGGTGATTCTTCTTGCTCATATTTATTAGAGTATTTTTCATACATAAATGCACATGTTTTTACTGTGGTCGAGAGCAAGGATCCTTTCAATAATGTTAACATACTTTTAATTTGTCATGATTTATGGAGCAGCTTCTATCCTCTATATCCACCTGCTGATGGCATTCCTTTAGACTTCTCTATTGCACCAGAAGCTCTCCAGATCTCATCAATTCCAGACATACTAATTTTACCATCAGACTTGGCTCACTTTGTGAGGGTAAACATTTGCCTAGACCAATTTAATTATTTGATATTTGTATGGAAAAAAGGATTGAAACTGCAGAAACTAGAAACATATAGGATGTTTTCCTTTGGACTGTTTTCAGTCCAAAAGAAAACATCCTTATTAGCACAATAAGTAGTTAAAGGGGTACTTGGTGACAACTCGTTCAAAGGCCGAGTAGTGAGTAGGACCAATTACTCGAGACTATTCAGTGATAACTCAGTCCTGTACTAATAACTCTTAGAAAAAGTCACTAAATTTTTTAGTAACATTAGTCTAACTAGCCAAACGTTATATACGAAGAAAAAAAATCTCTAGCAACCTGTATAAGTGAAAACCATTTTACAAAGATCCATCATCTAATCAATCCTAATTTTAAACTTACATCCTAAATTATTCTCGATAAGACTTCTGGGAAGAGTTTGTACATCCTACTTGGATAATAATCTATAATAACCAAATTCCTAGTCTAAGAAGCATTTGTTCATATTAGTCTAAGAATCAGAAAAAATTGAACAGAAGAAGACGAAGAGCTCACCAAAATACAAAGCTTTTGCGTTAAGTTTTATCCCGTAGATGTTCTATATCCGCTTACTAAAATAAAGTCCCTATTTGTTCAAACTTCAAATCCCGATCTTCAGTTTAGATCTTTCAAAAAAGAAAAAAAATCTCATTTTAATACTGTCACCGAGTACCAAAGATTAACTCTGTTTTAGAACGTAATGAGTAGGTAAGCTACCTGGCAAGGTGTATATCTCAGTGTACATACCGATTAGATAACATAGTCATCACGTTTTCTTTGTTCTGTAAGGCATCTAATAGTTTACTGATATTTGGTCATCATCATCCTCACGTCCTTGATACTAAACATGTTCAGGTGTATGGAATCAGATTAGTATCATTAAACTGTTTACAATTAGTTGAACACTATACATTCATAGAAATCATAAGAAACAAATTTGAGTTGAAAAGTTTTATGGTCAGGGCCTATTATTAGATTAAAACTGTAAAATCAACAAATGCATTTGTCACCAACAAAAAAACCTTAAGTGTTTTTGTTATGGGTCAGGTGGTCTCTGTCAAGGGTAAGGGAGAAGGAGAAGATCTGAAGTGCATTTGTCTGAATCCAGGAAGGCTAGCAAGGGGTGAAGGAGGAGGGTTCTTTGTTGAGCTTAACTATCATGGAACTCCAGATTCAGCAAGTGCTTCAGTTATTCGTGTGTAGGCCAGCCTTGTTGGTATGTAAATATTTCCATTCCATCCTCCATGGCAGTTATCCTTATCTCCACTGTACCATAACAGCTAGTGATATCTTGAGGAAGTAGAAGCTTATGTTGCATATTGCCAATATGATTAGCTGTGTGCTCATTGATTATTCCTTAATGCTGCTAAAAATGTAGCGTATGGAACAATATGGTCTCCGCTCTCCATTTCTTTTAATTTATCTTTGCTGTGATTTGTGTTGCAACAGCCAACCTTATCCCATGAAATTCGTAGTTGCAATTTATTTTTTATTTACATAGGATGATGAACATTACTCCGTATATTAATAATACCAATTTTGTTCTCATTAATTAGAAATTACTTTTTAATATGAATAGTTGTTCTGTTACTCACTCTCATTCATCATCATCATCACCCACTCTCATTGTCGATCTGTAACACGGTTCAAAAATGCGTTTTTAGAAGATGGAACTGTGTTATTGATATTTGTTGAAGAAAGAATGAAAAATATCTATTATGCTATTTTCTTTTATAGAAAATGAAATTCTTTCTAAAGTGAGTGAAAAAAAGAAAAAACTAATTATATTGAACCTCTTGAGTTAGATGAAAGTATGACTTGACATATGACCAAGTGGAGTGTAAAACTTGATCCGATGTTTGGTTTTATTTCTCTCTATTTATTATTCTTAATTTTGATATTATGTGTCCATTTGTACAACTAAAATTTATTTACTTGTAACATTTTCTGGAAATATTTCAATTACTTTACATGTGCCTATGTTGGGATTTAATTTAAAAACACGTAAATACTTTTATTTTTTGTTATATCTCTCAAATGGTTTCATCCCTTTTCTCCTATTTTTTTATTGTATTTACCACTTTTATCATTTCGCGGTTTCGCCCTAGCTCATGGTTCCTATTGCAAAATCACTCGGTCATTTAGATATTACTTTTGTCTCATATTGGATGCATTGTTTTAGTTTGATAAGTGTTAAATAAAGTGGTTGAAAAGTTGTGGTTAAAATTTGAGTTGAATAAAGTTAAATGATAAGAGTTACATATTTCTTGCCATAAAGGGAAATAGACATTCATGGAGGGATTAATAATTAAATAAGGTGATTCAAGTATGTTTTGAGAAATAATTGTGATGTGTATATAATTAATGAAGTCATTGATGATAACTATGATGTTATAGAGGTATTACTTTTGCTTTTTGATAATTAAATTGTTATTTAAGAGTGCAAGTTATATCCTAAAAAAGAAATGATAATAGTTAGCTCAAAGCCTGAAACATTAAAAAAAGTGAGAACCTTAACCTGAAAGGAGTATTATTTTTGTTTTTGATAGTATCATTATCTCATGCTTTCTGTTTTGTTGTTACTATTGTCACTATTGATATGGTTCTATTTATTACTAGTATTATTTTATCATGACAAAAACACTCATTTTTTCAAAGAGGTTAAGCTATTGGCGGCTAAATGACTCTCTCATTGTTATCCCAAAGATATTGGATCCCAAAACAAATTCAAGAACATCAACATAGTGCGAAAAACTACCCCATTAGATCCTTTATATGTGGCATATATTACTATAATAGTATAATCCTAAATATAATATACTATATGCTCAAATTTAGATTTAAAACCCCATTAAATAAACCAAATCGTTATTCTTTATGGAAATGGTTTTACTTTAAAATTGTACTTCCACTAGAATTCCACAATAATCATTTTCTCTAGATCGTACATCATATCATCATCATCATTCCTCTATAAAAGAGGCTCTCCCACAACTAGATTTATCAATCCCCAGACTCAAAATCACAATTTCTTCTTTGTTCTTGGGGAGCTAGCGAGTTTTATACACAGAACTTTTACAAACCTGGATATTGCATTGACATCAAGATATTCATTCATGGCAAAAGAACATGACCATATTGGACCAGATATGCCAATAGGGTATAAATTTTTGCCCACAGATGAAGAATTGGTGGAGCATTACCTTATGAATAAGGTGTTTTTAAGGCCGATTCCGGCTAATAATATAATTCAAGATATTCATACAGATGAGCTTTATAGCAAATCTCCCAAGAGTCTAGGTACCTATATGCTTTATTTTGTTTTTATATATGGGCGTGATTTTTCATCTTCCAGTTTTAAATCTTCAAACATAGAAATTTGCCAATCATATCTCATACATAAAATCAAGGATTTCGTGCCGACCAGTCCACCAATAGTGGTAGCCGATGACTATGATGAGAACATCTAAACGGTTGAAATGATAAATGCTTGGAATCATTTATGATCTCGTTATACCATGCATTTCATGACTTTCATATATGCCTTTTAATCTCATTATACTCTTTAAAGGTGTGACTGTGTGAGGTGTTAGTGAGGACACAGCTAGAGAAGTGATGCTAGGCTCCTTGCCCAAGCTAAATTATTAGAATAAAACGTTCATGTTAAAGAAAAATTAAAAGAATTTTTCCTACCGACTTGGCCCAATATAGCACCTAGTTACAACCCTAATCTAACCTAGGGATGCACCCGGGTTCTTGAAAAGTGGAGCCCGGTAGCGACCCAATACTAGGGATGGATTGGGACTGGTCGTCCCGATCCGGCTCTGGTCTGGTATTGTTTAGGCCCGACCCGGTTCTGTTTAGGCCCGGAGCCCGGCCCGGTCCTGTCCCGGTACCCTTAAGGGCGGGTTTCGGGCTCGTTTTTTTAGGCCCAACCCGGTCTGGGCTCGGGCCGGGCTCGATTGCACTATTTTCTTAATTTATTGCCTAGGCCTGTCCCAGCCAAGTCCCGAGCTGGTACTGTTTAGGCCCGGCCCAATCCCAGTAAAACCCGGGCCAGTACCGGGCCTTAAATTTTTAATCCCGAGCACGCCTTGTCCCGACACGGAGCTCGGCCTAGTCCAGAGCCCGACCGGTCCCAGTCCATCCCCCTACCTTGTACGCTTTGGTACTGGTTCCGGTCCGGGCCCAAACAGTACCGGACCCGGGTGAGTTAATTTTTTTTAAAATAGCCGTTGAGATTGAACCAGTTGGGTCTGGCCCAAAAAATCAAGCCCGAAGCCCGTTCTACCCACGGCCCGGGTCCCGAGCCGGGCCTAAACTGTAACGGTCCCGGGCTTATCCCGGGTCAGACCGTTCGGGCCCAGCCCATCCCTAATCTAACCTGCCTAAGAACATGCTTCTGAAAAACTAGAGGAAACATGTAGGCATGGACCCGGTTCGGGCCGCCCGGCCCGGGACCGGCCCGGCCCGCCACTGTGCGAGCCCGGAACCGGCCCGGTTCTCGGGTCCGGGTCCGGGTCGGGCCTAGGCCCGGTGGGGTGGCCGGGTCCGGGCTCGGGCCTTGAATTTGGCGAACCGGCCCGGCCGGGTCGGGCCCGGGCCCGGGCCGAATTAATTTTTTTTTTAATTTTTTTTTTCTTTTTTTGGGGTTAGCCAAGTTGGGCTTGATGGTTAGGAGGGGTTTGGGGGTTTGGGGGGGGTGTGGGGGTGAGTGGGGGGGTTAGGAAAGCAAAAAAAAAAAAAAAAAATTATAACCGAACCGGAGGCCCGGCCCGGCCCGGACCCGGTGGCTACCCGGGCCGGTCCCGGGCCTTCCTTCCCAAAAAAAAAGCCCGGCCGGGCCCGGCCCGGAACCGGAACCGGCCCGGCCCGGGTCCATGACTAGAAACATGCTTTTGAAAAACTGGTTATTTTTCTACTTTATAATTTTTTGGTAATATAATAGCTCATATAGTTATTATACTCTATGCATTTGTAGAAAAACTATCAATAACCAATCAAGTTTAAATAAAATTTTATCTAAAATTATTGAATTATTCAAATATTTTCATCAGAAATAGATTAATTAATATAATGATCAAATAAGTAATGTCCTTAAGATTGGGCGCGCGGAGAATACACAATAATTCAACCATCGACTCTTCGTTGAAGACCACCTAGCCACCTAGGCTGACATTTAGCAGTTTAGCACGATATTTAGATCAATGAACCTAATGCATTGATTGGATATTTGGATTTGGGAGCAAGCATGCAGAGCGGAAGGAACCTATTTTCATGTTCAAATCGCAAATTTAGATGGTCTATACAGGTTTCATAAACAATTACGCACTTGGCCTCTCTTTTAACATATATTATGTGAAGCAATTTTCATTCATTACTATGTCTAGTCTATGATTTTTGTAACTTACTTTTACATTTTTATATTGCATCCCCTCCCCCTAATTTTTTTATAGCTTAATTTTAGCTTTGTTTTTTTAAAGATTATTTGTAAGTCGCCTTTCATATTTTACATTTTCACTGTGAATTATATATACATGAATATATTATTTCCAGGCGTTTTACCTCTTATTTTTAGTAGTTTCAGTTTTAGCTCCAATTTAATTTTTAATAGTCTTAACTTTATTTACTTCATTTTGTTTGTAGATAACTGTATTGCTGTATTATATTCATTTTTTATGTTACTTGCATTTAATTTATATTTATACAATTCATAATTTATTTAATTATTAGGATTGCGTTTTTATATTTTGCAACATATTTTTTTTGATAATTTTTTATCTTTCATTTTTTGCATTTTTTTAATAATTATGTTGTTATAATTTTGAAATCTCAATTTTTATGGTTTTAAATTTCTGTTTTATAACTTTTAATATAATTATATTTTTAATTTATTTTAAATATTATCTTATTTTTAGTTGTAGTAAAAAATGATTCCATTTTCCTATTTCCAAAGAGTTTAAATTTTTATAAGTTCATCATTATTTTATTATGAAGTGTTTATTCTTAATAAATAAATTTGGGCACCTATAATTAGATGGGAGAAGTGATGGCCTGATGGGTTATAAAGAACTTCAAAATTTCCCTCCCTGTATGAATTTGATTTTTATTATTTTATTTATTTTATGTAAATTTTAATGGAAGCTTTGTAATTTTCATTTTTATTTTCCCTTTTATTTTATTTTATTTTATTTTATTTTATTTTATTTTATTTTATTTTATTTTATTTTATTTTATTTTATTTTATTTTATTTTATTTTATTTTATTTTATTTTATATATTTTTTTATGTTATTTTATTTTATTTTATTTTATTTTATTTTATTTTATTTTATTTTATTTTATCTTATCCTATTTTATTTTATTTTATTTTATTTTATTTTATTTTTATTTTATTTTATTTTATTTTATTTTATTTTGTTTTGTTTTGTTTTGTTTTGTTTTGTTTTGTTTTGTTTTGTTTTGTTTTGTTTTGTTTTGTTTTGTTTTGTTTTGTTTTATTTTATTTTAGAAAAAATGGCACGGATAGGCCTTTTGGCCTGGATATTACTAAAAATAGGATAAAAGACAAAAAAGTGAAACGTTTTCAAAAGACAAATAGGATATTATTAATAGGCTTTTGATTTCCACATTTATGATTTTTTTCTTTTTTCCCAAAAACTCACCCGACGACAACGCGTCTTCCTTCTCTCTGCTTCATTCGATGCTTCCTTCCAACCAACGACCTCACAACGAGATGCCAATGAAGGAGACGACTAGCACCAACTTCATCGCAGCCACTGCATGCCACTGCTGTCTTCGTCGCGGCCAGGATCACTGTCGTCGCTGTCTTCATCGCAGACAAACCGCGTCATCGCCGGTGTCTTCGCCGAAGCAAACCCTTTTCATCTCCACCAGGTCTGCAATCTTCTTCTTCTCCTTACTCTAGACGAGATCGGTATTGCGAACAGCTTTTTGACGACATCTACAACGACATAGTGCTATGTTTCGGCTCAGATCGTCAGATCTGCGAACTGATTTGCCTTGCGGCTAGTTTGACTACAGGGGCGGCGGCTATGGCTTCTGAGGCGGCGACTTGTTGCGACGGCTTGGCGGCACATGTTGGGGCTTGAGGGGGGAGATGGTGGGCCGGTCGTGGATGGGCTGATCAGGTCTAGATCCGGGATGGAAAGGTGTGGATCTGAGACTTTGTTGGACTGATTGCAGGAGCAGGGAGGGAGGTTGGCTGGGAAGGGGCGGAGCTAGAGGGTGCTAGGGGCTATGGAGGGGGGTTTGGGGGCTGGGGAGGGGGTTGCTGACGGTAGCGGTAGGTCTGGTGAGCCAGATGGGAGTGGCCGGAAAGTGGTGGCGATGGACAGAAAGTGGTGGCGGTGAACTGAGTTGGGCGGGTAATCACTGCAGTTGAGGTCATTGTGACCGATGGACTAGCGGTCACTTTGATTGGCGGCAGTCACTAGTGGGGCGGAGTCACTGCGGCGGCAGAGTCACTGTGGTCGGGCAGAGTCACTATGACGGCGGAGTCACTGTGGCGGTGGGGCAGTCAACCAGTCACTGTGGCGGTGGGGCAGTCAGCCAGTCACTGTGGCGGTGGGGCAGTCACTGTGGCTGACGGGGCAATTATTGTGGCGGTGGGGCAGTCACTATGGCCGGTGGACAGTCACTTTGCCGGAGTCACTTTAGCTCGAGTCACTTTGAATTGTAGGGGCTAATTTGATTTTGGTCACATATTTGGAATTTTTGAAAACGTTTCACTTTTTTGTCTTTTATCCTATTTTTAGTAATATCCAGGCCAAAAGGCCTTTACTTTATTTTATTTTATTTTATTTTATTTTATTTTATTTTATTTTATTTTATTTTATTTTATTTTATTTTATTTTATTTTATTTTATTTTATTTTATTTTATTTTATTTTATCATCATCATTCTCATTAGCATCGTTATTATAAGTTCTATTATTATCGTTGTTGTTGTTAATATTATTATTACTATTATTATAATTATAATTATATATTTTGTTGTTATTACTGTTATTGTAGTTGTTTTCATTTCTGTAGTTTAATTTTTATTTCTAATTTTCAGATTGCTTATCATATGTATTTATAATACTTTTCCTTCTTATATTACACTTTATACATTTAAAATAGTTATTTCTTTTTTAATTTGTTTACTTAACTGGTTTTTTAATTTTTATTTTATATGGAGTAATTGTTTTCATACTTTTTGAATTTTTATTTCTATTTTTATTATTGTTAAAAATTTAATATCTTCTCCCTTTCGTTTTTAATTTCAAAATATTCAATCTTATTTTACATAAAAGTTTTTTTCCTTACTTTTGATTTTCATCATTAATGTTGACTTTATTTTTAAGATTTTATTATTTATATTTTTTTAGAATTTATTGATACTATCTTTATTAATGCTGACTTTATTTTTAAGATTTTATTAAAGTTTTCTTTATTTTATTAATGTTGACTTTATTAAAGTGTTTTTTTCCTTATTTTTGATTTTCATCATTCATGTTGACTTTATTTTTAAGATTTTATTATTTATATTATTTAGAATTTATTGTTTATATTTTTTAGAATTTATTAATGTTGACTTTATTTTTAAGATTTTATTATTTATATTTTTCAGAATTTATTGATACTATCTTTTTTTACTCTGCAACAGTTTTATTCTAAATGTTTTGTTAGTCTTAGCTTATTGGGATGGACAAACTGCAAGAAGAGTAGAAGACTACTAATAAGATAAATTTTGGGTGTACGTATCCAAGAGGACAATTCCGCCAGGCTGAGGCCATTTGGCATCCTTAACGGTGAAATTTTTTGATAAATTTTTATGAGCATGTTTTTCATCAAGTTTATATTATCTTCACAAAAGTTTAGCTTTGTGAAGATAATTGGGTGTGTATACATTTTTTAATAAGTACATTTAAGTTTATGTTATACATTTACAAAAATAAAGAGCATAGCCATTTAAATTATCCTAGAAGTTTATGAGTATATACATGTAAGATGTAAACACCGAAATTCATGCAATTTGATGTTATCCAAATGCATTTTTAATTATCAAACACAATTGAGCCTTGTATTTAGCTCTACTGTGTTTTTATATTTGTTGATAAAGTGCTATATTCTTTAATAAAAATAATAGAGGTTATTAACTAAAAGTAACCTATTTGTTAAGGTATATAGTCATTTCTCTCAAAATTCAATCGTGAAGTCAGTTAAATTAATTATTGAAACATATTACGTGTTTATATAGGGAATATATAAATAAAGTTTCCACCGTTGTTTGCTGACAAAACAGTGACTCATATCAAGGCGGGCTGATATGTGACCACCCATACAGTTACAACATACTACGTATTTTCAACCAAATCTGCCCACCGACACCACCGCCTACCGGCACCGCCTCTTGCCAGCATCAATATTCATCCCTTGCCCCTCCCCATCCCCACGCTACAAGCCTACAACACCCCAAACCCCCGCCCCTCTGACCTGCCCCAGCCACCCTCCCCAACTCCGATCTAGCCTTGATCCGCCCATCAACGACTTGGCCCACAATTCCCCCTCTCCGGCCCCAAACCCTAACCTAAGATAGTCTGTTAACCTAGCCGTCGCCGTGATCGCCGAACCCTAACCGCCGCCATGATAGCTGAACCCTAGCCTCCGGCTTCCCAAAGAGATCCATTTAGTTCACGATCGTCGTCGTAAGGTCTGCTCCGATCGTCCTTGCGATATGCCGCGTGTGCTCCGTCCTCGGGAGTTGTTTGGTCTTCGAGCGCAGCAACGAAAGAACGAAAGGGGAGATTAGGATTAGCAGCGAAATAACTCATTTTGTGGTTTGTAATATTTTAATACAAGTCATTTTACAATAATAAAAATATTAGATAACTCAAAACATTGTTTTAGTAGGATAATAAAAGATGCACGTACAATGTATTGATTTGTTATTTCGGTAAATAAGATTTGTTATTTTATAATAACAGCTTAGAACTTTTATGGCAGTGGAAAACCTAGCGGGCGAAAGGGAATGGTACTTCTTCATCCTCGAAGATGACTACTACTATGGGAAGGTGGTAAAAAATCGTGTGGTGGTTGGAAGTGAAAAAGGGTTTTGGAGCTCAATGGGAGAAGAGCCCATCTGTAATTCAGAAGGAGATGTTTTGGGGTACAAGATTCATTTCACTTTCTTTTCGGCCGGGTCCAAGAAAACACATTGGAGAATGGAAAAGTATAGGCTACCAGCATGTCAATACAACAACGCAGTGGATCAAGAGGTAAATATTTATTTATTGATATTATTTTATCAAAGATAACTGTTAAATAGATCTTCTTACAAATTAAAATATCCCCAAAATAATATTACAAAAATAATATAATCAATAATTTGGGGTTTTTCAAATTACTTGCTTTTGTGATTCGCCATGTGGTGCTCTTTTTATTTTTTTCCCCGTGTTTCTTAATTAAATAGTAATTACCGTTATCAAGAAATTTTACTACCATTTTTTGACATTATTATCAAGTGTTTTATTTTCCACATATGATAGGAATTAGTTTTATTTCGATAATACGATTTAAACACAATGCTCATATTTTTAAATTCCACTTTATTTTATTTTCAATTAAAAGTTATTCTTAAAATAATTAAAGATGTAAAAAAAGTCTACGTTTTTTTTAAAGTAAGAAAGTCTAAGTTAATAAGAGGAAAGAAGAGGAATAAAGAATCAAGTGTTTTTAGAGAGTCATAAATACTTGTATCTCCCGCCCGACCCAACAAAGCATATATGTGGGGTTGTAAATCATTATGACTCAGCTGAACATAAAGGTTAGATTACTGCTCGTTGCGTAGAGTCATACCACGTATATACTAACTTGATGAGTAGTGACACTATCACATTCATCACCATCTTTCTTTTTTGTAGTGTGACTAAAATGGATGGTCATTATTGATGAACAAATTAACCTATATGAAAAAACCCATAAATTTTCATCATCATTAGATTTTAACGCACGTCAAGTGTCATGTGATCTAATAACATCGAGTGAAATGTATAAATGATACTTTAATTATTGATATTATTTTGGTTTTAGTACCTTAACTTTTAAATGAATCAAATAAGTACCATAAGTATCTATAAATGTTTCAATTGACAATAGTATTCAAATTTATGACCAAAAATTTATACGAGGCGGCCGAAATTCTATGCGTAAAGTCCACTTCACCTTACTTTTGTCCATGTTATCACTGCAGAGTCGACTCTACACATAAAATTTTAATCTCCGTGTAGGATTTTTTGGCCGCACATTTGAATAATATTCACAAATGAAACATTTATGCATAGTTATGATACTACTGATTTGATTCACTTAAGAGTTAGGATACCAAAACACAACAATATCAATAGTTAAGATACTCCCTCCGTTCCCAAAAATACTTCCCACTTTCCTTTTTGGGCCGTTCCCAAAAATTCTTCCCACTTTCCCTTTTTGGACAATTTGTGTGGCTCACATTCATTTCACCTTTTTCTTACACAACCACAACCACACATTTCCACTTTATTCCACTTTCTTAATAGGCGTGCCAATTCAAACCGGGAAGAATTTTTGGGAACGGAGGGAGTACTATTTATGCATTTTACCTGATAACATCACTGCTGATCTCCCAAAAAGGAGATCACAAGTTCAATTGTGATTTTGCCACAATTAAGGATACTGACATTATCATGAAAAGTTTATATTTTAATGCATCATCCCATGAGGGGATGTTATCAAATTTCAAAACCCTAAATACACCAATTAACTTGTGAGCTCATTTTTGACACAAAACACCAGCCAATCATCATCATCATTATCACCATCATCATCCCAAGAGAGAGGTCATGTCGAAGAAGCCCCGTCCAGCTGCCCACAGGCCTCGACGCTTTCCCATTCAGCCGCCACTAACGTAAAGTAAAGAATGAAGATGATCCGAGAGTAGTAGGTATTAACTATTAAGCGGTAAGCATAGGGATGATTGATTAGTTTGGCAAGGTTAAGTTCTAACTTTCACTTCTTTAACAAGTTTAGTCATCATTTAATTTCATCAGCATTTGCATATTCCATAAAAGGCCATATTATAGTCACAATTGTAAAGTGGGAGATTTTCAATTTATATGAGAAAATGAAATTATTTACTCACCAAATTATGGCTTTCAAAATATGCATAAAGGTATATAGAAGAGTGATAGTAGTGAATGGATATAGCTAGTTTACAAATGAATTGACTCAAATGAACTGACTTTTATTTGACTTTAAAGCATTAAAAGAGGATTAAACTTGATAAAAAAGAAAAAATTGAAGATTGAAAAAAATCAAATTAATACTCTAGGATTACATTAGGTATTGTCTCAGGAGAACTATTTTTAATATAAAGTCTTAGGTATTGCCTCAGGAGAATATTTGTCAATCTTATTTTCGTTCAAAATGATATTTTCTGTCTCACTCAACTTTGCCAATTTCATATTGAGTGTGGAACTGGAAAAAAAATTGTGTTTGAGATTTGTGCAGAAAAGAAGGAAATGATCAAAAATATAAGTTTTATAGGACAAGCTATAAATGAAAATTGGCAAAGTTCAATGGGACAAAGGGAGTAATAAGCTGTTGTGTAATCTTTAAAATAAAAGTGTAACATTTTATATAACTGTTGCAGGAAAGAAAGGAATGTGTATTAGGGAAAATTACAAGGGGCAGAGATTATTCCACCAGCTGTAGCCTCACCTTCAATTGAGTTACTCTAAATTGCCCATATTCATTTATTTTTGGGAAAATAGCTTCAAAATAATATCAACTATCACTCATCAATCAATAATAATACATATCATAGAAATTACTATTTTATACCCCAACAATACAAATGTATAATAAAAATAATATGAGACCATTTTTTAAACCTAAAGTCGATTGTTTACTAATCTACAATTTGTATCAAACTATTAAATAAAGCTTATTTAATGGGTTGGATAGGTCAAATGACCAAAATTTATCTTTTGTTATACCTTTGGGGTATGAAATCGTTATTTTTATAATATGTGTTATGAACTATTACAATTGATCGACGACGATAGTTGATATAGTTCAATAAATCGTTTTTTACATCTCCTTGCATGTTTTTAATATTGAACAACACCTTGATGGTACAACATCTCCCAATTACCAAGCTTTTTAAGAATCAAGTTCTTTATTGTTATTATCTCCTCGTCAAGATTAGGTGATTTACTCGCTGATGCTTTCTTGGGATCAATAGGCTAAACTAATTTGTCTCGATTATTTTTGGAGTTTCCACCAAATATATTACTAAAATATAACATAGTTATACAATATGATTAATTTATAATGTAATGTCATGATCACTTAAATTAAAAAATTGAACATAAATTACCACTATAAACTATAGGTAGTAGTCATATTTTAGTTTGTAACAATTTTTATCCTATTAGTCATAAATATGTAATTATTCGATTCATATTCTTTTTTCGATTCATATTTTTGAAAAAGGAAAAAGAACGAGAAGTAATTGATTATGTTTATATTTAACGTAAATCGTTTTTGTAAAGTATTTGACATAACTAGTTGCAAAGTAAATTTTATTTATTTAGTAATTGTTAGCTTTAATGACGGGAAAGAGTTTCAAAGAAGATCTGTGATAAAAACTCACGTTTTAATTTAGTTCTTTATGACTCATTAATTTTTTAAGCTACATAATTTAACTCAGAAACTATTCAGTGCTAGCTGTAGCTTCTAAAAGAATCATAAATTTTAGAGAAAAGGTCAGATAGGGCATCGAACTTACATAAAAAGGTTAAATAAGGCCTTATATAGGAGGCTCTGTCCGGCCGACGCCATTTGAGGCGGTTTCCGCTGAAATTTTTTGATGAATTTTTTTGAGCATCTTATTCATTAAGTCTAATTTACTCATACAAAATTTTAACTAAAACTTCAATCGGGAAGGCATTCAAATGAATTCTTGAAGATAACTGCGCAGTTAAAAATGCAGTTATCTTCAAGAATTTATTTGAATAAGATGCTAAAAAAAATTCATAAAAAAGTTCCACCAGGAACCGCCCCAAATGACGACGGTCGGACAGAACCTCCTATATAAGGCCTTATTTGACCTTTCTATGTAAGTTCGAGGCCCTATTTGACCTCTTTCCCTAAATTTTAAAAGAGCTCTTATATAAAATTTATAATGTCAAACTAAAAACTTTTAAAGACTTTTTAAATATTACATCAAACATTGAAAATTTTTAATGCGCCTTATTGATTTATGAGCTTTTTTTTATGTGATTGTATATATTTAAAGTGGATGAGTTACTATGTGTATTGCGTATAGTTAAACTGAAATGCATGCATTGGAATGACAGGCTAGGGTGGTTAATTTATTTCGTGGAGTGGGATATGAAAGTTCTTTATTGTACAGAATACACATGTAACTAGAAATAGATTTCATTTTTACACCAGATACCAGAAATAGATAAATAGTGTGAGTTATAATAAGTGTAAGTTATACTATGTACCATATACGTCCATAGCAAATATATGGAGTACGTCAAGTCGTCAACATTCTCATTATCGAGCACATTGACATGATTATTAACCTCCCAAAAAGTTGAGAGAGTCCTCATTTATCAAGTACCGAGCATTTTGACATGTGGTATATATATATATATATCCTTATATATGTACTTATGCAAGTGCCCTGCTTGTAACTCCGAAATTTAGTATCTGTACTTATAAAATTAGTGCTCGTAACTATTAGATAAAGTGATAAGTCCATCAAAAAAGCAAATGACAATTGTCGATAGAGGACATGTAAATGATCACGGAGTTGTGATGGAGAGATTCTTTGGAATTTAACATGTTAGCACCACTACATTTTCTTTGAAAAGTGTCATTGATTTTTATTAAGAACAAATTATCTTTGTTCAATGTTGAGGTCATGGATATGACCGGCCTTCTAATATATGTGGCGAACTTAATAATTACTAACACATTTTGGTAGAAAAATGTATTCATGATTAATAATATATTTTTGGGAGAAAATGTTGAGGTCAAGGGAAGCAGTTGCACAAAAAATAGGTTTATATATGAGTGACTTCCTTACATATATTTTTAGCAAAATAATATGAAACCATGATATAGATATTAGAAAATGGTGAACTTACAACCATGAGAGGATTATATCAAGAAAGTAGTTTAGCTCGATCAGGAGCTACACTTTAAGGTTCACATTATACAATAACATTCCTGGGGTATAAAAAAATCGTATTTTTTATGTGGTCTCCTATAATCCAATTTTTTGACAATATATTTGTTTTTGACAACATAATCCTAGAAATGTGATATAACTACTTTAAAATCAAGGGATTATGCTATTACCTTGATAGAAAAGATGGAGAATTTGTTTTTATCTTGATACAATTTGTTTTTATCGCTCACTTAATGAAGAAAGCGTTGGGGTTGACGAATAAATTATCACATTTCTTGTAACAAAAAAAATCAAAATATTCTCAACATAATGAGCTTGCTTAAGAGAACTAATGGTAAACTTTAAGACCTGAGAGAAAATATCAAGAACAAATGAAGTATTTTCTGTTGTGCAAAGTACTCGTGAAGTTTATAAAAAGATGGTTGAGCTTATAGTTCACAATTCTTTTCACCTTGAATATCATATGATTGAGTTGACTTTAGTTACAATTGCAAAAGCAGGTACCCTTGAGAGAGCCTTTTCTTCAATGAATGTTATCAATATAGAAGTTTTTGGCTATGCCTTAATTTGATCTATTATAGTACTTGTTCAGTTAAATGTCAACATTCTTGACTAAGATGAGTGTTATACATGTGAGTTCCTCCTTGTGAATGTTATAGTGATGTTATTGAACCACAAGGTGTTTCACATTATCAATATAGATATTCACAATAGGATGTGAGATGACTTTCTTACGAATACGGATTTCTTAGTGTGCTCGATCGAAAGAGAGATTTTCAGAAAAATTGGTTTTTAAACTATTATGCAACATTTTCAAAATACGAGAACTCGTAGAATTGATTTACAGAGGTTGCACTAATGACCCGTGTAGTATGTAATTAACTCTAATTTATGCTAATGATTTGCTTTATTAATTTGGAGTTATTATAAAGCATATTTTAATGTCCAGCGTACCACTCCTTTCACTATCCTCCACTGTACTTCCTATACTTACTGGAGTACTATGTGTAACCTTCCACTCAAGACATATTTCCATGTGTAGGGAAAAAACCTGATGATAGCAAGTATACATTTGCATGTGTAGAGAAAAAACCTGATGACAGTTTGTAATAAATAGGCAATCTTTGAATTTGATTATAATTGGGAAAAAGGATTGGTTATAGATATTATAAAGAGAGTGTTAAACACTAAAAGTGGGTAGTTTTAAAACAGTACTGTAATTTACAGAGAGTAAGGTAAGGAAATCTTTTAGCTCTATTTGTTAAGTAAAGTGTTACTCCGTATAAAAGAATTTAGGGAAAACTGTCAAATAGGTCCTCGAACTTTCATAAAAAGGTCAATTAAGTCCTTCTATAGGAGGTTCTGTCCGGCCGTCGCGATTTGGGGCAGTTACCGGTGGAATTTTTTGATGAATTTTTTGAGCATCTTATTCACCAAGTCTAGTTTACTCATACCAAATTTCAGCTAAAAATTCAATCGGGAACACATTCAAATTAATTCTTGAAGATAACTACGCATTTTCGCGTTCTCGAATTAATTTGAATGCGCTCCCGATTAAATTTTTAGCTTAAATTTGGTATGAGTAAACTAGACTTGATGAATAAGATGCTCAAAAATTTCATCAAAAAATTCCACCGAGAACTGCCTCAAATTGCGACGACCGGACAGAGTGTCCTATAGGACTTAATTGACTTTTTTATGAAAGTTCGAGGACCTATTTGACAGTTTTCCCAAGAATTTATAAATACTTTTAAGTACCATGATTACATCTTTAAACTTTACAATGTATAAAGCTAAGAAGAGGCACAAAGGAATGCTGGACAATTAAGAGGCTTAGGAGCAAAATTTTAAACGGGGCATGTGTTTGGAAATACAGAAAGAGAAAACTTTTTGATTTTTTTTTCTGGACCTTGAAAAAGATTTTAACTTTAAATAATTCTTCAAGACGAAGCACCTGTCAAGGAATTCTAATGAACTGCAGGGTGGATATTTTTGTTCATGAGGTGAAATGTATTGATCACACAATGTTCTCTTTGACTTGTATCTCTCTAAGACCACTAGACCAGACCATACTTCCATACTAGGTCATAATAAACCAACATTAAATAATACGTAATAGTAAAAAAATACACAGATTGTTAAATCAGAAGAGATGAGACCAAAATAGACCGGACGAGACCAGCACAAAACAGAATTTCCAAGTCCAAATGACTGAATGAGCAGGCCCTATACATACATCGGTAGGCAGAAAAACAGCTGGTGTGAGAATGTGGAAGTTCGGAATGAACTTTGTGTTACAAAATCCGAAAATGAAGATTTATTTACCCCGTTCATCAGAAGAATATCAGGAGGGACGACTACCAAGTCAGGGATTTCTAACTATTTTAAAATGCATTATATACTCAAGAATAATAGCTATTTATATTCGGAGTGCATCCCTATTTCAGATTTTATGTGGTGATCAGGACTACGTATACAGTCTGGCTAGGTATTGTCTCCATAAACCATCACTCTAGAAGGGAGACTTATAGGATAGAAGAGCTGAGTATAGACTCCAAAGTCAAATAAATATCTGCAGTCATAGAATGGGATTTGTCAAAAGAATAGAACTGATGAACTTGGTTGTCAATCTCAATCCAACTGCAACCTGGTAACTTATAAGCATTCTGCGCATTTATTATCTTCCTTAACCTCAAAGCATCATCCCACTTCTCAAGTCCCCCACGTATATTAGCCAACATTGCATAATACCCACCATTGCTAGGATCTATCTCAATCAATTTCTTTAGAGCAAGCTCAGCCAAATCTGTTCGCCCATGAATCTTACACCCGTTAAGCAAAGAACCCCAGACCACCTCATCGGGAGGAACCCTCATACCCTTGATAACTTCCATGATGTCATTGAACCTCCCTGCCCTGCCAAGTAGGTCAACTAAGCAACCATAATGATTAATCTCAGGCTCAATCATGTATTCCCTAGTCATCGAATCAT